ACATAGAGTTATTTCTAGTAAATGTGGAATCTAGTTTCATGTGGTCATCATTAATTTAAAAATTGTAATTTCAAACACTGTTCAGAAGCAGAGCTAGATAGCAGAACTAGATTTTTCCTCCTGTCCCTTGACACTCGTGTTACTGTTCCTTGTTTTAGAATTGTTTTTGGAAGAGAAGGTGTATTGGGAGATCCTGATGAAACCCACATCAATTCTAGTCCAGCTGTAAGTACAGATAATTAATGTAATATAAGGTAATAAGTAATTTTTTGAATTTCATCTTATGATACTCATAGCAAAGTGGAACATGTATTGAAGTATTTCATTTAATACCAATGTTGGTATAACTTTACTTGAGATGGTTGCTTTTTTATGGCCTGTTCCACAATTACTCCAAAGAGAATAAAAGAAGAATATAATAGCTACATAATCTTTCAGTCTTAGTTGTTCTTGGAGTATAGAGCAAGAGATGTATTCTCTACCACTTACTTTTAGTTGTATATATACCTTCCCAACACTATAAACTATATACTTTGATTTTCCTTAATCTAAATGCATGTCTGGTTTTAGTACTGAAACATTTTTAAGAAAGCACAATTACTACTTGTGCTTTAATACATAATATAATTATCAGACTATTGGATGTATATTTTCTGTGGTTTGCTCACATTATAATACTCAAGCTTCAGATATATTTTCTTGATCAACCTTATTTACCTTATCACTTTTATCTCAATTTTACCATTATTTAAGTGGGTATTTCACTCATGATCTATAATCTATTTCTGTTTCTGAACATTTCAGAAGAATCATACTTATTTAAAGTTACTTAAGCTATTACTATTTAAAATGACCAAGTTGTTTGGTTAAAAAAATGGTGTTATTCAAATGAATTTCAAGACATCTCTGGCATCACCATTGAACGTAAATCCAAACATGGTAGATTTGACAGCAAAGTATTCTTAGAGAAATAAAGCATACAATCTTTGGCATGCTGCTTTTAGCAACAATAATTATATATTTTGAAATAACTTCACATTACTATTTAGAACTGTCATGAGTGAGACAGTCACACTAAATGAAAATGCATTTCAAAGCATATAAAAGGATAGGACTTTATTATGTCAAATAGTAGAAATATCCATTGATATTTTGGGAAATCTTTTGATAGTTACTTTGAATACCAAATTTTACTTTCAAAGAAATGTATACAGAATAACAGCTATAATTATAAACAAATACATACATCAAGACACACCAAAAATCTCCCGGCCCATCATTTCCTGTAAAATTTTACAGAATTTTAATATGAATATGTGTTCTTAAGTAACTATATTTCCCTAAACCAGAGATGGGTTGATGCCGGTTCGGCCTGGATTGGGCAAACCATTAGTAGTGGTGGCGGGAGACTCCGCCCACCCACCCAGAAACTTCTGCGCATGTGCAGAAGCATCAAGCACATGTGTGAGCGCACATGCACAAGTGAACTGGTAGGAAAAAAAGTAGAAACTCACCACTACCCTAAACCCATAGATATAGAAGAATGTTTTTTTCACATTTCTTCTATACTGTGTTTCCCCGAAAATACGACAGAGTCTTATTTTCTTTTTACCTACAAAATATGGCTTGGGCTTTATTATGGGGGGAGGGTTTATTATTTTGGGGTTGCCGGGCGACTGCTCTCTTGTGAGCGGGCTCCCAAAGAGCTGGAGACAGCCACATGGGTGAATGGCTGTGTTGCGCTGTCGCAGCAGCACAACACAACAGCCATGTGTCAGCGTTCCAAGTATCATGTAGAATTAAATCAGAGTCCAAGGCAAAAATGATCCTTAAAGTTCCAATTTAATAAATCAGACATCTTAGCACATCTGTGGAATCCCAATTCTGGAAGTACATCGGAT